TCTTCACTTCTGCAGGAATAAAGGGGTTCGCTTCGTGGATACGAACACAGATAAAATAGACAGTTTGGTGAATTCCGCCAGCGAATATAAACTGTTAGACCTAGGATTTGGTTGAAAAGGGAAACAACGTTGGTGTGCTCCCTAGCTCGACGGAGGTCGAAGGGAAAAAGCATTGAGGTGGGGGTTGCAGGTAGTTTTGTAGAACAGTGGCTGAACCACAGGGGTCCTGGGGTGTCTTGGCTCTCGGCCAACTAGATTGCAGCGCTGCTTTCAGGTAACTTCAGGAACGCATATAGTTTTTGGGGGAGCAGGGTCGTCTTACCGGAGGTCCCGCCTCGGCATCCCTGCTCTCGTCCAATGAAAGCAGTGTTGCATTTCGGGGAGGAAACTCACACCCTAATGTGAATTTCTTCAGAGCTGGGGGTTTGGTGCTCAAACTACAATCAGGATGAAACCTTTGCTTGCAAAAGGGAAGGCCTGACTCTCTCTGTTCCACAGCACATGTCGAAACCATATAGTCAGATCCCAACATATGTGTATAAACAGTAATGCATCCCGTCACAGAGCAAGTCACTCTTGTTCACTCCTTCACTCCTCGCTACATGAGACGATGAGCAGTAAACTGAATCAACAGAGGACACATTTTAGATTTGAACATCTCCTCCTGTGGAGTCATGAACGCATCTTTCTCTCTGCTTCTTGTTCTGATTTATACGTTTTACTTGACGAGCTTTTTGAGTGAGATCTACAGCTCGCTGTCTCAGTCTGAAGGATTCATCCTCTGGGGACCTTGAATATCATAACAACCCGTTCAAAAGTTGAGATGTTTCACACCAACAAATATTTGTCAATTATATTTCACGTGGTCATATCTCATGCATATTCATTTTATGTTCTCTGTATTATTGTAACATATTAATATTCTGAATGTGGAGGCTTTAATAAGCACAGCTGTCTTTCTGCGTCTTCCTGCTCAGTGATGATATTTATGTTCTATATCTTTATACGTTCCGTTTCTCCAGGTTTCCTCCTCTTCAAAGACTTCTGTATGAACGAGATCGACGAGGCCGTGCCACAGCTCAAGTTCTACGAAGAAGTGAGTCCAAAGCGTCCAGCGGGGATTAGACGGGAGATTAAGGCTTCGTAATTCCGGAAGTATTTGGGAAGTATTTGTTTGTTTGTTGTTTCCTCCGATGACCTCGTGTGTCTCTGGTCTCAGATTAAGGACTACGAGAAGCTGGACTCAGAGGAGGAGAGGTTGAGCCGCAGTCGGCAGATTTACGACGGCTACATCATGAAGGAGCTGCTGTCGTGTTCACACGTGAGGACCAAGTCTCCTTCACTCCTCAATACGGACGAGGACACTCGAACGGGACTTTTTAATATCTAATGACACAATAAATACATTTCTTTCTTGAAACCAGAGTCAGGGGACAGTAGGGATGAGTATTGTTAGTATTTTATGGATACTAGTACTCTTATCAATACTCTTATCTGTTCTTTTTAATTATATTGTGAGAAAAAAAAGACAATTAATTAAGAAAAGAATCAACATTTCATCAGACAGACCGGTCCCTAGTTGGGACCTTCCTGGTCGTGTCACCCTGAGGTCTCGTATCGTCACATAAAACTAAATACTGGAACAGCTGCTTTTTATTTCATTCTTTTTTAATAACCCTTCTTTTATTTGGTCCTCTCTGTTTCAGCCGTTTTCTAAGAAAGCAGTGGACCATGTGCAGAGTCACTTAACAAAGAAACAGGTTCCCCCGACTCTGTTCCAGGTAAAACCACTCTGCACTGCTATGAACTCTGGGAAATACAGAAAATAGCGTTTACATTCAGGATGTTCTGGTGACACAAACAAATGTTTTCTGAAAATCAAACACTTGAAGAGGTAAATGAAACCTCCAGGTCAGCAGTGACTGATGATGAATAATTAAAACATTAGAGACTTCACACCTTCAACACATTTGAGGGTGTGAATTACTCTCTCTCACACACACACACACACACACACACACACAGCCTTTGTCGGCCTTATTCTTACCCTGGACTTTATGACCTTTCTCAGAATGTCTCGAGTAGATTTGTGAGTTTTATGAATAAATGAATGGAAGTGAAGTTTGTAGAAACAGACGGGAGTAACAGCAGAGTAATGTTCTGCTGTGGACGTATTTTAGACTCCTAAAAGAATCTACATCAGTTTACGTGAACGCTTTATTGATTGATGTGTTAGTGTTGTTGTGTGAATCACACACGCGCACACACACACACACACTACCAGATGAGGCAGCAGCTCCTGTGTTCTGAGGTAGAATCAGTGTTTCAGTGAATGGAGTCTGGTGTCTTTGAAGAGAGAAAGATAACAGCTTCAGCTCCCCGTGTAGTAATACACTGACTGTGTATAAGTACCTCATACAATCCCAATACCTACAGAACATCTATTTAAATACATCAATAATACAAAACTAATTCAGTGTTGTCTGTTCAAGCTCACAACTCGAAACAAACTTAACTTCAGTTTGTTTTGATCCCTCGTTGATGTGTGCACATCTTTCCCCATAAATAAAGAGCGTTATTGTACTTCTATATTATACTCTATGAGAGAACTCAACCGTATTCTGTCTGTACTTCATTAAAGTGTCACATTTCCTGTTGGTATCTTTTCTGTCATACAGCTCTGTTCTTGTAGCATATATTCTGGTTTTCTGTCAACATTGTTTTTAAACTCCAGACTCTCAGATTCTAATGAAACGTTGAGAGAGAAGCATCAATTAGTTTCCTCTGAGCTCAGTGAATCTGCTCAACAGTTCCTCTCCTCCTGACTCCAGCATGGCTCTCATTGTGGATCATAATGATCATAAGTGAATACATATTCCCTCAAAGTGTTGCTCTCACTTCATGTTCAGCTGGAAACCAAAGAGGCGTCTTATGAGCCCACTTGTCAAAATGTTCTGAGAAGTGAATTCACTTTAAACGGCAGACAAAAGGAAGTCGACAGAAGCTTTAAAAGAAGCCACAGCGATGCACGGAGGACACGGTGGCGTATAATCACGACGTTACTGAGAGAACCTGCTTGTGTCTCTCTGCAGCCGTACATCGTGGAGATCTGCGACAGCTTGAGAGGGAAGCTCTTCCAGAAGTTCATCGAGAGGTGAGACCGGAGAGGAAGAGCAGCTTCATCATTTCCTCACCTCCAACAGTCAACTCAGACTGTTAACCCTCTCTCTCTCTCTCGCTCTGTGTGCTTCTCTTCTTCTTCTTCCCTTCAGTGACAAATTTACTCGTTTTTGCCAGTGGAAGAACGTGGAGCTAAACATCCACGTGAGTACAAGCTTTAAAAGTCACTTTAGAGCCACTAGTCTGGTTCATTTGGTCCAGACCAGAGGTCTTGACCGTCAGTGCACACACATACATATATATATATATATATATATATATAATTTTACACTTAATCTAACTTATTTAACTTCAAACAGACGCCACGGTTTCGGTCCATCGTGTATGGTGTGTGTGAGTTTGACGGTTAATGTCCGTATTGGTGTGACTCCCTCTCAAAGACGCCTCCCTGTGCTTCCGTCTGTCTGTCCTCAGCTGACCATGAACGACTTCAGCGTGCATCGGATCATCGGCAGAGGAGGCTTCGGAGAGGTGTACGGCTGCAGGAAGGCCGACACGGGCAAGATGTGAGGAAGCAGAATGTATAATAAACGTAAAGGTCAGGGGTCACGCTGAGCCTGTGCTGATCTGTGGTGCTTGTGGTCTGAACGTCAGGTACGCCATGAAGTGTCTGGACAAGAAGAGGATCAAGATGAAGCAGGGGGAGACTCTAGCGCTCAACGAGAGAATCATGCTGTCGTTAGTCAGCACTGGGGTGAGTTCCTTTAGTTAATCAGTTACACTCATTCACCTGGTTAGCAGCTGCTAGCTTAGCATCACACTCACTCTGATCTGCATGAGTATTATTATTAATGACACCAGTGGTTTTATTATACAAGTGAAGTGTGTGAGTATCAGGTCCACTTAATGATCCGGTTCTGACTCTCTGCAGGACTGCCCGTTCATCGTGTGCATGACGTACGCCTTCCACACCCCCGACAAGCTCTGCTTCATCCTGGACCTTATGAACGGTAGGCTGACCCCTCATGGTCCTGTACTTCCTCACCCCTCATGGTCCTGTACTTCCTCTTAAGGGTCGGTAGCCTACTCACAAACAATCCACCTCCTCAGTCCCCCCCCCCCCCCCCTCCGAGACAATAGCCACCTCTTATTGATTGATATTGATTCAAGCATGAGGTTTTATGAGGTCACACTGACTCACTCTCTGTGTGTGTGTGTGTGTGTGTGTGTGTGTGTGTTCAGGCGGCGACCTACACTACCACCTGTCTCAGCACGGCGTGTTCAGTGAGAAGGAGATGCGTTTCTACGCGGCTGAGATCATCCTGGGTCTGGAGCACATGCACAACCGCTTCGTGGTCTACAGGGACCTCAAGGTAGACTCTCTGGTTCCAGACCATTTAAAGTTTTATTGTGTGTGTGTGAGTGTATTATGTGTGCGTGTCTTTCTCCTCTCTGCCATAACGTGCTGCAGAAATGAGTCAGCATTTTATTCACTTCCTGTTCCCTCGTCTTGAAGTATTCTTGTTTCGATGTGTGAAATGAGGCGGAGGCCTTTTTACAGCAGACAGTGAAGTTGATGACCATAAAAACCAAAACTACGAGATGACAGAGGCTACAAGTAGTCAGATGATGAGTTTCACGTGACACATTTGATATATTGTCAATTAAAAATATATATTATAAGTGCAGATTTAAATATTCACTAGAGCTCCAAATGGGCATTAATCCGCCGCTGAAAACAGACCCCCAACAAATGCACCAATCCTTCCTGTTTGTTTGATTAAAAAAACTACAGCGAGCAGCTTTTTTACAAACAAAGGAAACTATATATTTGTGTTTTTTAAAGATTGACGTCTTCAGTAGGAACCAATGTGCTCGGAGCTGAGAGTCACAAACAGGAAGTCAGACGGTATTGAGAGACGGACCGACGTGATGTTGGTTTGGCTCTTTTAATGACATGTTGACAAGAAGAAGAATATAGAATGACGTCTGTTTTATCCTATTGATGAATCAAAGCATGTCGCCTTCATAAGAAAGTTTAATATTCAGATTATTTATTAGATAATTATAGAAGGAAATCACATTCTTTTTACCTTTACAAACTACATACTTCTGCATGCAGGAAGCATTCAACTTGGACATTCTACTTCCTCATAACTTTGGACTCTGACCCTCTTGCTCATATTTCTGCAGTGCAAAGGATTGTGGGTAGGAATAGGCTGGCTTGCATACTGTAAAATGCTGGTATTTGCTGTACTGTATATTGGGACGTAATGAATCTTATTCTGGCAGCCTGGAACAAACCCTGAACCTCCGTCACACCTCCACACAGATGCTCTGTGTTCAGCTCCTCTGCTTCTCCTCCGGCTCCCCTGTTTGGACTGGTTGCCATAATAACAGACATATTTCTGTGGAAGTCAGGGAGCAGTTTTAGGGCTTCAATAAACAGAGCAGACCAATGCAGATAATACTGTGAGGGGAGAAGAGGATAACCAGGACAGGAGGTTCTTCTTCTACTGTCTGTGTCCACGAGAGTTTCTCTACTCGTCAAATGGAAATTAGAACTTAAGTTGTGAATTAATGAAATCTCTAACATCCTCTGATTTTATCTCTTCTATCCTCCATCAATATCTCTCTCTCTCGCTCCGTCTCTCTCTCCCTCTCCCTCTCTCTCTCTGTCTGTCTCTCTCCCTCCCTCTCTGTCTCTCTCTCTGTCTCTCTCCCTCTCTCTCTGTCTCTCTCTCTGTCTCTCTGTCTCTCTCTCTGTCTCTCTCCCTCTCTCTGTCTCTCTCCCTCTCTCTGTCTGTCTCTCTCCCTCTCTCTGTCTGTCTCTCCTTCTTTCTCTCTCTCTCCCTCTCTCTGTCTGTCTCTCTCCCTCCCTCTCTGTCTCTCTCTCTGTCTCTCTCCCTCTCTCTGTCTGTCTCTCTCCCTCCCTCTCTGTTTCTCTCTCCTTCTTTCTCTGTCTCTCTCCCTCTCTCTCTCTGTCTGTCTCCCTCCCTCTCTGTTTCTCTCTCCTTCTTTCTCTGTCTCTCTCTCTCTCTCTCTCTCTCTCTCTCTCTCTCTCTCTCTCTCTCTCTCTCTGTCTGTCTCTCTCCCTCCCTCTCTGTCTCTCTCTCTGTCTCTCTCCCTCTCTCTGTCTCTCTCCCTCTCTCTGTCTGTCTCTCTCCCTCCCTCTCTGTTTCTCTCTCCTTCTTTCTCTGTCTCTCTCTCCCTCTCTCCCTCCCTCTCTGTCTCTCTCTCTCCCTCCCTCTCTGTCTCTCTCTCTCCTTCTTTCTCTGTCTCTCTCTCTCCCTCCCTCTCTCTCACTCCTTCCAGCCAGCTAATATCCTGTTGGATGAACACGGTCATGTTCGTATCTCAGACCTCGGTCTGGCCTGTGACTTCTCCAAGAAGAAACCTCACGCCAGTGTGTAAGTATCTGAGTCAACAGCTGGACTGATGTTAAATATTAGTCTGCTGCTCACTGTTTAAACTCCCGTCCAGAGCGCTAATGTCTGACATCTTGTCCGTGATCCGTACTGACCCCCTCACAGTTTACCGTCAACCATCAGAGTGTAAATAAAGTTGTACTGACTCAGTAGAACATGTGTTTCTAGTCTCTGATCATGTTTCATTGTAAACAACCAATCAGAGGAGAGCTAGTAACGTTAGCAGCACCGCTAACGGCTAACCAACGGAGGTTCACTTCAGTTACATGATGATGCCTTCAGGCTCTGCTCAGTGAACATGAGTACTGGCTGAAGGTACATTATAACGTTATCATGATGTGTTCACAGGTCATCTGTAAAATGTAGTTTTGGTGATAAACTAGAATAAATCCAGTAGTTTGAAGGAGATGTTTTCACATGAATATAAAACAGATATTAGAGATGAATTATGAGCTGTTTAACTTCATAACACGAGCTCTAAGCACATTATTATATGTCATTAAAACTAATGAATTACTAGATTTGTGTTAGTCAATAAAAATACAATATTTTATTTCCTAATCATTTGAATTGTGTTTATGTGAAGAAGAAATGAGACTATTAATGGAGAATAAACCAGTATAATTCAGTTTTATCACAGTTTTGTCCTCAAAAGTATAAGAAATGATTCAAACTTCCACTTGGATGAAACAGTGTTGCCAAACATATCTGATTCATCAGCTAATAACATCTCCACACACATTAGATGACATCACTGTGAGGAGAGCTGTCTCTCTGATGGGATATTAGAAGCTACTGCATTAATAATCAAGAGCGCTACAATCTGTTTGCAACACTTCCTTCCAAAGTAAAGCTGAGCAGCACTCTGAGTTGATTGATGTGAAACTGATATGAATAATTTAACATGTTTCCTCTTGAATGTGGATCAGAACGCTTTCATTACTTTTACGTTCAAGGTGTGAGCTCACTGACTTAATGATCGATCTGTCAGGTCAGCTCAACCCTTCAGTAGCTTTTCAAATTAAAAGAGACTATGAAGTGTGTCTGAATGACGCTTTTATTTTGGAGAAAGTCTCTTTACTAATAGATGTTATTTAGTTTAGTAGACTAAACTAAACTCTGCTCAAACCAGAAAACAAACCAGGAAGGAAGGAGGGGGAAGCTGTAAACTAGCAGCCAGGACACAAACATCTGTGATTGTTTCTGGCTGCTAATGTTAGCCATGATGCTATTGATAGCTGTGCAAGCTAACGCTAACACTAGCAGCCAAAAACAAACATCTGTGATTGTTTCTGACACAAAAGTTTCTTGCTGCTAATGTTAGCCATGTTGCTATTGATAGCTATCCGAGCTAACGCTAGCTATGTTGGCTAGCATGCACTAACACTAGCAGCCAGAAACAAACATCTATGGCTCGTTTCCGTTTGATAATCGAGACAAAGAACACGTTTTCTTGCGGTGATGGAACGCTAACGGGGGAAAGTTTTCTGTTGCCACTTTAAAAAGAACAATAATAATAAAAACTAAATAATATAAAGAATGAGTGAGCCTGCTGGTGGTGACGGTCACGTGTTTCTCCTGCAGCATCGTTGTGTTTCTCCTCAGCAGCTCCTTTAATTTACCAGAATCTAAACGACCTCCCAGAACAACCATAACTGTTATTACATCTTCACCCACCGCCTCCTCTGATATTAATCCCGGGTGAACGACTGCACGGAGAGTTACTGTAAAGCAGTAATGAGTGTTTGTGTGTCTCAGGGGAACTCACGGCTACATGGCTCCAGAGGTTCTTCAGAAGGGGACGGCCTACGACAGCAGCGCTGACTGGTTCTCTTTAGGCTGCATGCTCTTCAAGCTCCTCCGAGGGTAACTACTCCAGATAATCTCTTCTTTTTCTTCTTCCCTCCCTTTCTCCTCCTTATCCTTCTTCCCCTCCTTCTCTTCCTCCTTCTCCTTCTCTTCCTTCTTCTCCTTCTGCTTTCATTTCCTTCTCTCCATCCTCTTTGAATCCACTCCTCTGTCCACTGTTTGGTTTGTTTGATCTTGTTTGTGTCTCTGTGTGTGTGTGTGTGTGTGTGTTTGTTTGATCTGGAGTGTGTAAATGCCAGAGGCCAGGGCCCAGTATGTCAGAAATTGTGTGTGTGTGAGTGTGTGTGTGACGTTTCTGTCCATTGATGTTTCCAGTGTGTTTGAATACTTTAAAGAGGAGTGTGTGTTTGGTGAAAGGTTGGAGAGACGGATGGAAATGTTTTAACACTGAATTCTAAAACTAGAAAAATAAGGTTTAAAAAAACTCAAATATTCTCTGATATTGAAGTCACAATCCTCCTCATTACAAAAGCTACAAAATTAATCTTTAACCACGTAACAAACTCAACATGCGTCTGCAGAATAAACCCAACGAGCTCCTTTTCTTGCTCCACTGTATTCAGGCTTTAGCTTCATCTTCTGAAGTTCACACTTATATTTATTGATCAGCATCCTGTCCCGTCTTTTGTCTCCGGCTGAACAATTAGACCGGTTGAAGAAGCAGCTTCTCTCCCATTAAGGCTGGCCGGTGGTCATTTGATCGCTCTCACTAAGTTGAGAGATGCTCTCTGCCTCACTGGAGCTCTACGAGGTGTTTCTCCTCA